TAAACATTATTTAAGATTATGGTACATGTAGACAAAGCTCATTCTGCTTCAACAAAAAATAACCCTTCAAGGTTAGACTTTTACTATCTTGATGTCCTTAAAACGTGGTGACAGTCTGCTCTTACATCAGGAAATTAAAAATAAATAAACAACAGCTAAACATCAAAGATCCAGGGCTATGGGAAATCCAAGATGGGCCCTTAGCTTTTCCCGGCTCCCTGATAGACCTCATTTTTATTTGATGGGTTGAAGCCTTACCTGCATACAGTGTTAATGCCCTCACAATGAGTTCTCCAAAAAAAAAAAAAAAAAGAAGAAGAAGAAAGAAAAGAAACAAATCATGTTTCATTAAATATTAAGTTCTATTTTTAATTAAGGTCTGTGCTACAAAGACTCACTTCTGAGAGTTCCTTGTTATGTTATATTGCTAAAAGTTTTAATTAAATTATTAAAAAAGACACTCTTAAGATTGTTTCTAAATCTTACCTCAGCAACCAGTCTTTGGATAAAGATCAGATGCTCCATGATGTACAACCAGGAGATTAACACTTGGCTATAATCATTTAACTAAGACAGGTGACCTGGGGTATACCAGGCTATACCCAGTGAAAGTTCTTGACTTAAATTCTTGCTTGTGACCTTACTAATAACTGCTAGCTATATTATTTTCTATGTAGCTTGTTTCAGAAGATTATTTCTTATGTTACCAAATGTGTCACAGAGCCTGTGATAAAATGCTGATATGCAGTTCCATATGAGATCAATAATTGTAATAATGTAAATTTAGATATGGAAAGAAACAAGAGGGAACATTTTCCTGGACCAAGAGGCTAGTAAGACAGGTATGGTCCAGAGACTTTTCCTGCTTACAAGGCCTGGTCTAGTGACAACACATTGAGTGGCCTGTCATTGGAATCTTTGTTAGACCTGGGAATGAGCCTTCCCAGCACCACAGGACACAGTGACCATGAAATGCCCCCCAAACATGGTCAAATATGACTATGAAGTCAAATATGACTATGACAATCTTAAGAGTGTCTTTTTTAAATGATTTAATTAAACATTTTAGCAATATAACATAAGAAGGAACAATCTCAGAAGTGAGTCTTAGTAGCACAGACCTTAATTAACAAAACTAGAACTTAATATTTAATGAAACATGATTGTTTTCTTTTCTTTTTTCTTTTTTTTTGGAGAACTCATTGTGAGGGCATTAACACTGTACCCAGGTAACGCTTTAACCCATCAAAAAAATGACTATCAACTAGAATTTGGCCCTTGCTAGCTGCCTCTACAAAGATTAAATAATGACCACTACAAGATGCTGATCTTCAACACTCCCTTGAAAGGAGTTAAGGGTGGAGACAAAAAATAAGGCACTCTGAGCTCTGGGAAAAACCCAGAGAAACAGGCCTTCAGATAGCCTGATGTTTTCAGGTAAAGATTTTTATGAGTCCAAATTCTTGCATCTTCTCACACCTAGAGAAGAACCAATGTCTGGACCTGGTTCTCCTAGTTGTGCCTCGGCAGCTTTTCTACTTCTATTAATCTTTGGGCCACATATCTTTAACTTTCTTGTTAACTTTATTTCTCCAAGTAGAACTACGACAAGAATATCCCCCGGCCAACGCCCAGACAATGCTAGAACAAGCTGCCTTAGTCTGTGGACTCACATCGCCCTCTGTAAATGCACCCCGAGGACCCAGGCTATTCTCCCTTTGAAATCTTATACAGGAGATCACCCCCAGTGATAAAAAAAACCTCAAGGGAGACCACCAACTAGCTGACCTGGAGGTATAGGCCCTGGGAAATTCTTCTGTCATATCGCCCAAGAAATCTGAGAAAGGACACCCATTCCACTGGGCAATTGGGTTCATCCCTATCAGCCAGGAGATGAGGTATGGGTTAAAGACTGGAAAAAGGAACCACTTTAGCCAGTTTGGACAGGCCCTCACATGGTCATCCTGGCAACCCCTACTACTGTTAAAGTTATAGGTTTCATCCCTTGGATCCACCACACCAGAGTCAAGAAGGCAGCAGCTTCCTATAATGAGGACACCTGGAAAGCAGTTCAGGACCCCAAAAACATCCTCAAGTTCTGTTTCCAAAAACAACGACCCTCACCCACGAAGGATGCTGAGCCTTGCTCTAGCCACACTCCGGCAGCTGGCTGGTCAGCACACGACAGAAGCTTGAGGATCTGGCTATCAAAATATCAATGGATTTTCATTGTCAAGCCTGGACTCTATCCCTGATTCCTATTATTTCTGTGCTCTTCACAACAGGACTAGTTTCAGTCACACCCCAGGACTGGGGTTTGGGTCAGAAGCTGCAGTTAACTGCCTGTTATCTCACTGTAATGGGAAGCCTCATGCTTATTAGAAGTCTCTTACAATTGTTTCTCCCTACAAACTAAACTGCTCCACAATATAACTGACCTCCCTTCACGATAGGCTCAGTTGCTAGAGCCATGACAACCCAAGGATGGGGAGAAACCCTGTTGCTAATCTTCAGTTACCTGTTATGTGCAGGCTGCTTTGCAGCCTTTTGGTGTCCCTTGCTGTAACAGATGGTGCTGCCCCCATCAAGGCCTTTTCTTTGTTTGTGGGACAGATGCTTACTTGTGTCTACCTGTCAATTAGATGGGTATCTGCACCTTAGCTTTCCTCACTCCCCAGATGAATATTGGCCCTAACAACCAGACTCTCACCGTACCTCTGGCAGCACATACAAGGTCAAAAAGAGCCATCCAGTTTATACCCCTAATAGCTGGTCTGGGAATCATGGCTGGGATAGGTATGGGGATAGGAGGAATTGCTTCATCAACCACCTTTTACCATACACTATCCAAAGACTTCACAGACGACATTGAGAGAGTGGACAAATCTTTAGTGGCCTTACAGGACCAATTAGACTCCCTGGCTGGGGTGGTTTTGCAAAATAGGAGAGGTCTAGACCTACTGACAGCTGAAAAGGAAGGACTCTGCCTCTTCTTGAATGAAGAATGCTACTTTTATATAAACCAGTCAGAAATAGTCAGGAACATGGCCCAACAGCTAAGGGAACAAATCATAAAAGGAGAGAAAAACTAGCTAATTCCTGGGGTAATTGGAGCAATATCTGGAGTTGGCCATCATGGCTTCTCCCTTTAACAGGTCCTCACTTCATGCTGTTTTGCAGCACTCTTGTTTGGCCCTTGTATTCTCAATGCTATTACCCAGTTCATAACCTCTTGGATTGAATCCACAAAGTTACAAATGGTAATAGTTCAATACAGCCCCATAAACGATGGGGAGCTCTGAATGTCCTACCAAAAACATGGGATGATGCTTTCAACAACGAGGGATAGAAGCATCAAGAAGGGGGAATTAAGAGGAAAAGTTAAATTTTTACAGCACCTCTTTCTCCTTCTGCCTCTGTAACTCAGCTTGCCCCTTGCAAAGTCTAGATCACGTAGGTCTCATAGCGTCAGAAAGTGAAGACTTGCAATGCTAGGAACTGGAGTTTATCTCACTCACCCTTGTCCTGCTCTTTGCAATCACCCAGCCCCTGCAAACCTGCTTAATCATGCCTGTCCAGGTCATGCAACCCCCTCCTCATCTTGACCACTCTTCTGACCCATGAGAAACCCCTTAGTTTAAACCAGCCTATTAACAGCTAGTGTTGCCCACTACAGCCTATCTATAAAAACTCTACAATCCCTTTGTTTGAGGCTCAGAGCTTGGAGTGTTAACTCCTCTGGGCCCGCTGGTGTAATAAACCTGATTTCTCCAACTCTCCAAGTGTCATGCTTGGTTTCCCGAGTACTGGTTTCTGCAACATTGTAACTAAATGTCTTCAGCTATAAACCCTGAGACTGAGAAGACTGTGTGCCAACCCAAATTCACTCATGTCTCATTTGGAACCTTTCGAGTGTATTTACACTCAGGCAGAAAAATCAGGCGTCTACTTGATCCTGATCAAAGTGCACTTTGTCTTTTGGAACCAGGAGATTCATCTCCAAATGAAAAGGAACTTCTAATGTATATGTCCTATTTCAAATTTTCTTCTCACCCATAAGACATCGTCGAGGGGTCTGGTTGCTACCACCACCCAGTCTCATCACGATCCCTTCCCACAGAAGGAACCCAGCTTCCCAAAGCCCCAAAACACCCTGACTCAGGAACCAACCCTCGAGGGCTCCTCCTAGAACCCCACTGTCCCACCACGTGTTTCCTTGTTCTGTGGGACTAGGGGATGTCTCTTCACTGCAGCTCTGAGATCATCACTCCAGGTGTGGGGGTGCCCTGCTTTTCCCACTGCTAGCATGGCCTGTCACAGAAATCAGGCTCCGTGAAGTTCTGTGGAATAAATGAACCAGGGAGAAGGGCCTTATTTAGTCAGATTAGTTTTCTCCTACTTTCTTAAATAATAACCGGGAAAAATCAAATAAACTGAGATAGCTTAACAGTATAAAATGACAGATAAAAAGTATAAGAAGCAAGACTTCGCTATAATCACATTTTATTTTCTAATTCTTTCACCAAGTACATTACTGCTAAGTAAGTTCACATTTCCAAAACAGTTATAATTCATTCTCATGTTACCATGGTCAGGGTCACAAAATAAATGGGAGAGTTCCCAAACTCTTAAAAAACAGCAAGACTCTTATCCTTAAACTGGGTAAGCACAAATACATGTGTGATCAATATCATTCACAAAGTTAGATACTGAAGTTTATTAAGCCTTAAGCTGAAATACACATTTGAAAAATTCCTAAAGAAAACAAGATCAATCTGCATGTCATCACAGAGAGCAGGAACCTAAAAATGCTACACTTGGTTCCCCAAGTAGTCCAGGCCATCACTCCTGAGAAGGCTGACTACTCCCTCTTCAATCACAGAGGACAGATCAGCCTGGTTGCTGCTCTGGCTCAGGGTCCCCCTACCTCCTCCCTCACATCCTCTGCAGAAGGGAGTGGGAAGGACCTAAAAGTCCTTTGGTTGACCCTGAGCAGATACTCTGTGAATTTCCCCTTGCTGGTCTCCGCAAAGGCCCGGGGACCCCACAGGAACTCGTAGCGAGCAGGGGCGCTGTCAGGCACCTGCCGGTACTCCAGGTACCCATCCCGCACCCACACTTGGGTCAGCAGCTCCCTGGGCTCCCCAAAGATGGAGTGCTCCCTCCCAACATACACCCCCATCTTGTTGAGTGCTCCCCAGATCTCCTCCTCAGGGCCGCGATCCCTATTCTGGAGGATCACGCTGAGGACCACCACCAGGAGGCCGGCCTTGGGCAGGCCCTGCCCACCTCTCTGCATTGCATCACAGGTGAGGCCCAGGGTGGGAACCATGATGTAGATGTGCTTCCTGGGGTCTACCTCCTTCACATCCACCCCAAAGACCAGCAGAACGCACTCAACCGCTTGGCGGAAAACCACCGGGTAGTGCTCCTGGTTATCCCTGAGGACTGCATTCAGCAATTCGGCATCAGAAGTTGGCTCCTTGGTTTGATACTTGCGGAGCAGGAACTTCACCATGTTAGCCACCATTTTATTCAGAGCTTCCTGGGGCAAGGCCTCCTCAGTGGCAGACGAGGAGACTGGGGGGGAGGAGGCCGAGGGGGGCGCAGCCTCCCCCCCCTCAGCCCCCAAGAGCTGTTCCTCCTCCAGGCCCTGTGCCTCGCCTGGGTCCTGAAGGTCTTCCTTGGGCTTGCTCAGCTCACTCATCTCGACCTCAAGCACGATGCCTGGGATCAAACCACAGATAGGAGTGAGGCAGGGGACATTGTGGACCATGGGCCTCAGCTAAGAAGTACACCCTGGGTGGTCGACACAGGCCACTAACAGGTTTCCTCTTGAGAGGTGCTCTCGGCCTCACAGGGGCCCGCCTCCTGGGTGGTCTGACCCCTGGCTACCCGCAGGAGGAGGGCAGTGGCTCCCCTGCATGCAGCCAGCACAGCCAGAGGTTCTGGGGCTGACACAGTGGGGGGATTCGGGCTTTGCGGGGTTCCCTCTGTTTTGGGGTGGGGAACCCCTCGTGCTCATTCAGGGCACCCTCCTCACCTTGACTCCTGGTACTGCCTGGACCTTCTCTGTTCTCTGACCCGTGGACACAGGCCTCAGACCTCTGCCTTTGCCTCCTGGTTCCTGGAGCCCCTGTGAGAAAAATGGAGGGGGCCCCTCGGGGGTAGATTCTCCACAGACCTGAACTCTGAGTTTCCCCCCGACAAGCTGTGGGGGAAGTGGTCCCCTTGTCGCTCCCTTGTAGTGCCCACCTTTCCGCTGCCACGGCCTGGACCCTGCCCTTTGGGGGCCTGCAGAGTAACTCAGAACAAGACCCAAGTCTGAAGAGAAAGCACTAAGGGGCCCCACATGTAGTCACAGCTGCCCAGGGCCTCCCGTGGGTCCTACTTAGGCTGGGGAGATGCTTCGTCCTCACCTCACGTCCAGCCTAGACTCCCAGCACTGACCACAAGAGTGGGTTCGGCTCTGTCCATGGAGTCCACCCTCTGTGGATCTGAAGCCTCCACCCTCCGCCTGAACACCTCATCTCCCGAGGCCCCTAAGCCAGAGGTCGACAAACTGCTCATCCTGGTCAACATGCTCTGAGACCTCTAAGACCCCCATCAAAGGCAAGGATCCCTCCCTGTGTTGGGGTCTAACCGCCTCAGTCCTTCCTTGCCTGGAGTCTGGATTCCAGGCAGGACCCGGAACTGGCCCGTCCTCCATTTTGAAGCCCCGCCGCTCTCACCCGGTTCCCAGTCATGTGGCACGAGGTCGTCCTGCCTGGGGAATACCCGGGTCCCCTTTGTTTTGGGGTCCGGCTCCCCTCACTCCTCCCTCAGGGTCCTCACCTGACTCCCGGTAGGACTGGGGCTCTGTCCTCCCCGAGTTTGAGGCCCGGCTCCTCACACCAGATCCCCCGTCTCGCTGAGACCCGGAAGTCAGAAAGTCAGGCCAGACGCAGTGTGTTCTTCTCACCCCAGGGTCTCCCAGGGCTGATGACAGGGGCGGGGATCTGTGGGGCTCCAGCAGTCCTCCCTGGGGGTCCCCTCAGTCCTCCCTCAGGGCCTTACCTTGTCTCCGAGTAGAGCTTCAGAGTCTCTCCTCTCCCCAACTGAGGCCCCGCCCCTTATACCCCTCTCTGAGACCCGGATGTCAGGAAGTCAGACCATGCCTGTTCTCATCCTACTTCACGGCCGCCAAGGACCGACAACAGAGACAGCTTTCTCTGAGGTCAAGGACCCCCTAGTCCTCCCTCAGGGACCTCAATTTGTTACCCCACAGGACCTGGAATTCTCCTCTCTGCCCACCTGAAGCCCCGCCACCTATAGCAGGTCCCCAGTCTCTCTGAGACCCTGATGTCAGGAAATGCAGCATGTGCTCATCTCACACTATCTGCTCCCTGAGCCCACTCTGTGTTGGGGTCCAGGTTCCCCTCAGTCTTTCCTCAGAGTCCTCACCCAGACTTTTTCAGAACCTACTATCCTCCCCTTCTCCTTCTAAGTTCCGCCCCTTATATCAGGTCCCCAACCTGTCAGAGACAGGGATGCCAAAGTTAGGGACACGCTACCAAGTGCTCATGCCGTTACCAGGGATGCCTAGGGATGACAGCAGGGGTGGGATCCATGGGGTCCTTGTGTCCTCCTCAGGGTCCTCATCTTGAGCTCTGCAAGGTACAGGATGTCTCTGAGTTGACCCAAGCCTGGACCCTCACGCCAAAGCCCTCATTGTCCTGAGACCACAGCTTCCAGAGCTGCTGGTCTCCTGGAGCAGCAGAATGGCTTCTACGAAGCACATGTGAGAGGCACACTGGGATATGAGAGCCCGAGGTGCTGGGGTTTCACCCTCCGGGGACTGGACAAACTCCACATCTTTCATCATTAGTTCCCCCACTAAGTAAGACACATGGCCTTGGAACCAGAGGGAACAGTGACCCCACCTACCACCACTCCCAGTGACCCACAGGGGCAGTTGTGCTTCTGGGCCCCCGTGTAGTTTCTGCAGTTCCTCAGCGGGGCTATCTAGCCATTAGCCACTTCTAGCTATTTACATTTGACTTCGCATTATATTATGATAGAAGGCCAGGCCCTGGGACACACTAAGTACATTTGAGTTCATAATACCCAGCCTCATGTGGCTACTGGTCACTCTATTAATGGTGGTGACAGGACATGCTCTTCCCAAAGGAAGATGGTTCCCCCAGGAGATATCATAACAGTCCTACTGACCTATGAGCCATGGTTCCCACCTGGTGCTTTGCGCTCCTCTCTGCAGAGGTTCAGGCACCAGTTCCCCATCCACATGTCTCCTCTTCTCCTGACCCAGCCCTGATGTGTGACAAAGGGAAAGGGAGAGAAGGATGGACCCAAGAAGGAGGGCAGAGGGAGAAGACTGTGTGGTCCTCATGTGATTCTGGCTTGAAGCTCAGCTCCAGACTCCTAGGCTGCATCCCTGCCCCTTGCTCCCAGGGCTCTCCACCCTCCTCAGTCCCTCTGGCTGTACCACCCCCAGGATACCATCTGCAGTGCCCAGAATCCAAAATGTTCCTTCCTCTTCCACCCTGTCTACATCACAACTGTCCTGGAGGGCTCTAGGAAGAGTGTAGTTCTCCTAAAAACACCTACCTTCTGACTGTGCCACTGGGAAGAGCCCAGGTCCTCGCCCTTGGCCCTGAATGGACAGCACCTGGACAGATCTTCCATCAGTCAGTCAGGCAGGAGCCTTTCCTGCTTCTTGGGAGCTCAGGCCCATGGATGTGGCACCACCTGTATCCAAAATACCTTTCCATCCCACCCCAGGCATCAAGACACATGGGATACTTTTTCCCTAAACGACATGCTATTGTCATTTAGATGAACCATTTGTTTTCTTTATATTAAAATCGGTGAATTAATCATGTATTTATTTCCAACTTGTTGTAGGTTTACAGAAGGATCCCCTGTTCCCTGCAGGCAGCTTCCAGGAAGCACATGGAAAAGAGATGTGAACAAGGACTTGGAGTCTCTCCCCTGACCTGCAGCGTACTCGGTGCTGGTGCTCAACAGACAGCAGCCAGTAGGTATAGCTTGTGATGAAGACAGTTCCCTTCACGTGTTGAGGAGTTTCTGAGGAAGCCAAAGATGCCTTGAATCTTCAACTGTTTCTAGTCACTACTCTCTACTGGCACTTTCCAATGCAAGATCTGATTTAGTTTCCAAGGCTCTTGGGAATGTCAGGGAGGGGTCCCCCTCCCCCCACTCCCTCCAGTTCTCTTTCTGCCCTACCCTCTGCAGAGATGCCCGGCCACAGTCTCAGCAGAGTGAATATGTGGCCCTATCTCCTGATGCCAGGGAGTGTCGCCTGGGAGACTCGGCTGCCTCCACAGGATAGAACTTGTCTGAGCACCTGCACAGTTGCCCGTAGGCTTCCCAACAGCCATGACCTTCATGAGGGGCAGGTATCAGACAAGTGACAGTGGGAGAAAAAGGACAGTGGGAGTTTTCTTTACAAAATCCAGCAAGGATAAGCACAATGCACCACTCTTCACCTTCAAGGAGCATTCTGCTGCGCTGCTGCTGCTGCTGCGTCGCTTCAGTTGTGTCCGACTCTGTGCGACCCCATAGACAGTAGCCCACCAGGCTCCCCCGTCCCGGGGATTTTCCAGGCAAGAACACTGGAGTGAGTTGCCATTTCCTTTTCCAATGCATGAAAGTGAAAAGTGAAAGTGAAGCTGCTCAGTAGTATCTGACTCTCTGCGACCCCATGGACTGCAGCCTACCAGGCTCCTCTGTCCATGGGATTTTCCAGGCAAGAGTACTGGAGTGGGGTGCCACCGGCTTTTCCAGGAGGATTCTGAGGTGTGTGAATTCAAGTTCAGTGCAGTTTTTATTGTTGTAGCCACGCGTTCCGGGAAACAAACTCCCTCAGAAGGAGAATGCAGATAGTGGAGTGCAGCTTATTACACTGGTGGGCCCAAGACAGAGTCTCCTCTTAGCCAAGGACCCCGACCAGTTTTTGTGAAAACCTTATATACCCTAAGTACATAAGTTTCCCTGAAACTAGTCTGAACAAAGGAAAAAGAAAGATCCAAACAAAATTAACCCGTGATCATATGCCTTAAGCCTAGGTAGTTAACAGTGGACAATAATCAATAAGCCTGTGGTCATACCCCAGTAAGCATAATAGAATGTATGATTCTATTCGGTTACACAGATAATTAAGGTATTCTTTTAGGGGATGGAGAGCCCTAGGGCTCTTCCTTCCGGGGTCCTGGTTTTCCATTTGGTATGTCGTCTCCATAGATACTGGGCCTATAGCTCAAAGTCCACAGTCCGGCCCAAGATGGAGTCCTACTTTCAAGATAGAGCCTATTCTGTTTCCTCCTTCACTATGGCTTTGGGGGTCTGACCACCTAGGAAAACTGACCCATCAGTTGAAGTGTCCAATTGCCAGTTTCAAAGAAGAACCCCATTAAAATCTTACCAGAAGACTGAGGGTGGTAATTGAAATGTCTTCAACTATACTCCCTGAGGCTGAGTAGACTATGTGCCAAACCAAATTCACTCATTTCTCATTTGGAAACTTTCAAGTGTATTTAGACGCAGGCAGAAAAACCAGGTGTCTATCTGTTCTGACCAAAGTGCACTTTGTTTTTGAGACCCAGGAGATTTACTGGAGAGAAGATGAACTTCTAACATGCTTGCCTGATTCCAGACTTTCCTCTCACTCATAGGACACCGTCTACA